CCTTATTAAGGAATATTCCTTAAATTATAGTAGGATCCTTAATATGATTTAAGGAATATTCCTTAATCAAGGGATATTGGAGTCTCTGGGAATCTTCCGTCGAGGGCACAAAGACCTTCCGAAACTCCAAAGCGCTTCAAAGAGGTAACATTAAGGCCTTTATAATTAGAATAGGGTTTGGGGTCCATTATGCTATAACTATGATAAGAAGCCCCCCAAAACCCTAGTCTCATTATTAAGCAAGCTGCGTCGCAGCTCAGCATTGCTTTGCAGCCATGGCAAAGTCGGGCTGCGTCTCAGTTCAGAACCGGGGACGGGCAAGAGGAGCGGGGATAGCTTCAGCTGCGGAAAAGGTCAACGAAGTCCCGGTAGCTTCATGCGGCCTCTGTCTACGAGTCCGCACGCGATGCGACATCTTCTCTTCATGGGGCTCTGGATTTAAAGCCCTTGAGCTGAGCGGCCGCGTAGAGAACGACTTCAAACAGAAGCACAGAGCACAAACAGAAAACACCAATCGGCCGTATCACGGGAGTAAAGGAAGGCTTTTGATCTGCATGTGCTGCGCTTCCCCGCGTCGAACATGCATCCCAATGCCAGCAAGGATTGGGTCAGAGAGCCCGCTGCCGATCTATGGACACTGTGAGGGTTTCTGGCGCTGCCTGAAGAGCTCCTGGACATGTAAATGAATCCAAACTGAGCGAACTCATCATGCACATGAATGGGTCCTTCAGCGCAGCCACATCTTCCTGAGCAGCTAGTTGCACCAGCCGCTCAACCTGCGTGCGGATTTGCGTTTGGACAGCATTGGACTCATTCTCTGCCCTGCACATTGCAACCACCCAGAGACTCCAATATCCCTTAATTAATTAAGGAATATACCTTAAATCATATTAAGGATCCTACTATAATTTAAGGACTATTCCTTTAATTTAAGGAATATTGGAGTCTCTGGGCACACAGAAAGTCTGCTTGCGCCTCCTCGCTGGACACTTCCGCGCCATCGAACTCGGCAGAGCGAGCCCGAGCCTCCATCAAGACCTTTGCGCTGCACTGCTTGGAGGTTCATGGGTAGTTATAAGTGGAGCTATAAGTAAGCTAACTATAATTATAACCCATATTAGGGGACTTATAACCCTACTTATAACTACCCATGAACCTCCAAGTGGGAGGTCCTCTCAACTGCCCTCCGCATGAAACTGGAACCCAGAGACTCCAATAGCCCTTAATTAAGGAATATATTCCTTAAAATATAGTAGGTTCCTTAACATGATTTAAGGTATATTCCTTAACTAAGGGATATTGGAGTCTCTGGGTGGAAGTCTTCCCACCTTCTCGGGAAGCCCAGCGATCTTCGCGACATTGTGTCCATGAGAGGATGGGCACAGCCCAGGCAAGAACTTGTAAAGGAATGTCATCTCGTGGGTTCCCTGGTTAACAGCTGCAGCCATGTGAAACGGCGCCACGTTGGCGGTGTCTTCAGCTGCCTTCTTTGAAACTGGGTGGTAGTGAGTGGCGAAGAGCACCTCGGCCGAGAAGATATTCACCCAAGCATATGGAAGTTTCCGAAAAATTAGGGGTACCTTATTTTGGGGTCCTTATAATAAGGATCCTACTGTTTAGGGTACTATCTTGGGGTCCCGTATTTTTGGAAACCCCCATATCTTGCATGCACCCGCATCGAGATATCCCACACTTCGACTCGGAAGCCTTTCTCTGCTGTGTGCCGGAGAGCTACGGCGACATACAGCAAGCGTGGAGGTCGATTCCGGCCACGTTATGGCACAACAAAGGAACATGTGGCGACAAATGGGTGGTTGTCAAAATTATGGTCCCTTTTTGGGTCCTTATTGTAATACGGCACCTATTATTTAGGGTACCCCAAAAGGGACCATAATTTTGACAACTACCCAAATCCAAAACCCAAGACATGCAGCCGTCAGGACGGTCGGACCCCCCCTGTAAACACGAAGCGAAACCCAAATCCCATTGGGATTCGTGATTAGAGACCCCTGTACCCGCCATGCTAAACTTCTCAACATGCACATGAAGAGCGACCAGGCATAGCAGTTTTCAACTACAAAACAGGGCAGTGGTGGACTGTGGTGGGGCATTTGTGTGCAGTTCCCGAAAAGGAGTGACAATCACCGGATAACCCAATCTGCATCCGATTCTTGAAAGGAGCAATGCTGGGCAAGCTGCAGTTGGCCGCCAGAAAAGGTGTGAAAGGACAAATGGGAGTTTCAGAAAATAGGGGACCCTAATATAGCACCCTAAATAGTAGGATCCTTATTATAAGGACCCCAAAATAAGGTACCCTAATTTTCTGAAACTCCCAAATGCCGGCCAAAGCAGAAAAGACCTCCTGCACTCCTCTGCTCCCTGCAGATCATTGCCCGAAACTTGCTCTCGGAATCCTCCTGCTGCCTCTGAATTAGACACTGCTTCGATCCACGGCACGGGACATCGCACATGGCACTTCAGCTCTTCCAGCACCGCCGACGCTATGGCGGCCCCATCAAACGTAGAAGTTCCGCGACCCAGCTCGTCCTGCACATGCCGAGGCATCCATGCCTGCACTCAGATTCCATGCAAGTGACTTGGTCCAGAACAGCCAGTGATCGAGGCGTCCCGTGCGCCAGGAGGGCAGCCGTCTCCTGCGCAGATCAAGGTGGACACACGCACACGATCACACACGGAAACACAGAGAGGGTACTTGCATGCTTGGGTCCACTCAATGCACCTTTCCAGGAGTTACACAGCTCCAAACTGTGACAAGATATAACAAGCACACGTCGGTCCTCCAACTCAGTCAGCAGCCTCAGAACCAGAAACTATCTCAAGTACGAGTGCAAGTATGTTCAGTGCCCGCATTGGCATAGCACAGAAAATGCAGCCAAGAAGCGTGCTCTTGCCCTCAAGTACTGCATCATAGGCACCGATACGAGTGAAGATCCGGTCCACGGGAGTGAGCCTGCACTTCTGTGCATTTACTCGGCAGCCCACCTGCGCCATCAAAACGGCAACGCAGGTCTGGCGCAGGACGGTGGACTTGCCGCCCATGTTCGGGCCCGTCACGATCAATAGCCCCGGTACCCCGCACGCGTTCAGGGCCATATCGTTGGGAACAAAGGCACTGCCCATCCTCGCAGCCACCACCGGGTGTCTGCAGGTCCGTAGTTCGATGCTGGCAGCCGACCGGGCATCCGAAGCCAGGAACTCGGGTCTGCATGCGGCACCCGGCAAACCTTTGGATGCTGCTGCTAGGGACAGCAATGCATCCACTTCCGAAACGCACCGCACCAGTGCGCGGAAGGGTGCTTGATGAAGATGGAACTCACGGAAGAGCTTGGACAGAAAGGGAAAGATGCAGTCTTCCTGTTCGTCCTCCAGCTGATCGAGCTGCACAAGGAGCTCCTTGATCTGGGGAGTGTGGAAGCGAACCTTTCCCTTGACTCGTCCAGTAATGTCAAGGCTACGCTGTGCAGCCGCCGACATGGAATGTTCATCGCACTCCACCTCGTAGCGATAACCTGGTAGCCGGTGCACGAAGCAGAACTGCACCTTCGGATAGGTTGCCTTGACTCTCTGCAGCTCCTTGTCAAGCTGAGACTTCACCATGTGAATCTCACGACTCTTCTGATCGTAAACAGGGTCCGCCCCATCCTGCGGCCGGAACTTCAGGGCTCCGTTCTTGCCGGTGGCCTCCACGACGCTCCCACGCAGCTTTGAGATGATGGGCATGAGCTCCGGAAGGATCCCGCCGGCCTTCTGAGGCTTTGCAACCAGGGCAAGGCGACCCGGCAGATTTCCGTTCAAGGGGAAGGCGGTACTCAGCAACTGGTAGCATTGCTCCTTGGCTGACTTCTGAACCCCTCCAAAACGTTAAACTTTTAGTCTCCTTATTATGGTTCATATAGAGACCCAAAAAGTTAAAGTCCTAAGAGCCAACCAGAAGAACACCAAGGCTCGTATGCTTCCATGAGCTCCACAAAGTGTCCAAGGCGTCGGGCTGTGATGTCATCGTACCTTGAACTACCAAAACCTACTTTTTTGTAGGGTCCCTATAAATTCTATATTAGGGTTTATAATAAGGGCCTACAAAAAATACCAAAACCTACTTTTTTGTAGGGTCCCCATAAATTCTATATTAGGGTTTATGATAAGGGCCTACAAAAAAGTAGGTTATGGTAGTTCAAGGTACATGACCGCCTTGCGTTCCGCTTGCAAGGCGTAGCTCCAAATCCTGGAGGTCGCACGCTCCAGATCCACCGGGAGCTTCGAGATCTTCCCGCCCGCGATGCACTTCTTCAAGGAGGCTCTCAGCTGCTTGGACAGCTCGTCATTCTGCAGGAAGTACTCCACAGCCTCCTGGCGGGACTGAATATCCTCCAGATCGAGAAGCGGAGCACAAACCCATTGCTTCAGCAAGCGGAACCCGAAAGGCGTGCTTGTATGATCCAGGAACGCCAGCAGGGAGCCTTCATACCCACCTGGGTAGTTCTCTAAAATTAGGGCCCTTCTTGGGGGATCCCTTTATAAGGGTGCCGTACTCTATCGAGGACTCAAAAAAGGGGACCCTGATTTAGAGAACTACCCACCTTCCAGAGTCTCAACCACTTCGAGAGCAGACAGAGCCGTGGCATCCAGAATCATCCGCTGGGAGCTCGTGCGAGTTTTGGCAGCTGTTGCAAGGACATCCCAAGTTGCAAAGGGGAGCAGCCTCTCTGCCAGTAGTGCCGCTTCCAGGTAGTCCATGATGCCAGCAGCTGCGATGACAGCACTGTCCTGACAAAAAACCCAACAACTTGGGCACAAGGCTGTTGAGAACATGACAGCCCCCCGATGTTGCACTCCTACAAACGGCAGCACCCTAAACCCTAAACCCTAAACATCCTAAACCCTAAACCCTCCTGCGTCAGCACCTCCTGAACTGCTGGGCTGAAGGCCTTGGGATGCGCGGCCCGGTACTTGTTCATCTTCTCCCGGGCGTTGAGGAGTCCGCAGTCTCCGGCAGATCGGGAAGACAACTGTGGCCTGCAGGGCAGCCGTTTCAAGAGCAGGGTTTAGGGTTTAGGGTTTAGGGTGGCCTGCATGGCAGTCGTTTCAAGAGCTGCATGACTTCGATGGGGAGATTCGCGGTGTCATAGACGATTTCACTGGGCTGCAGCTGTGCCAGCATCGTCCGCAGGCGGTTGCGGTCGGGAGCATCGTTGAAGTGTCCCAGCTGGATCTGCGAAGTTGCACAATCTACCAAGCAAGCTGCAAAGTCAAGACCTCTCTGGCCGCTCCCCTCGAAGAAGAGGTAGGCCAGGAATCGAGAGCCGGGACCCGCCAAGAGCTCGGGATCTACCAAGGTGCCATTCGTGTACACCTGGGTAGTTGTCAAAATTATGGTCCCTTTTGGGGTACCCTAAATAATAGGTGTCCTAAACCCTAAACCCTAAACCCTAAACCCAAAAAGGAGCCATAATTTTGACAACCACCCACCTCACAGACATCCCGCTCCACACAGGTGGGGCCCATATTTTTCTCCTCTGTCTTGCGCTGGTTCGTCTCCACCACACGCTCAACCTGCTCTACCACCACCACCTGAGGGGGTTTCCGAAAATAGGGGGACCCTATAGAGATGGTACCCTAAGTAGTAGGATTCTTATTATAAGGACCCAAAAATATAAGGCATCCCTAATTTTCAGAAACTCCCAACCTTGAAACCAGCTTCGACGATGCGCCTGGCATACTCATGCTTGGCCATCTCTGGGAAACCGACATGCGGCTTCTTCTCTTGACCCATCCATTTCAGATTGCAGATGCGCTGAGCCATGAAGGCATCATAGTAGAAGATCTCATAGAACTTCCCAACCTTGAATAATGCCACTTTGTCAAAATGCTTTGCTTTGAGCTTCCAGAATTGCATCAGCATCGGGGTATTGTGGCCCTGCGCCTTCTGGTACTCCGCTTTCTCCCGCACGGGGTCGGGCACCCAAAGCGTGCCCTGGTTGTAGCCCAGCTCTGTCGGGCGAAGGCCTTGTGCATCTCTGAGGTTCTCGGGTCTTAGCCAGGCTGGCCAGTTGTACTGCGAGCCTCCGTTCTCCTTGCGTCGCCAACAGGCCAGGGAAATGAAAGGTTTAACCTTCAGATTACTACTACATTATAAGAACCCAAAAAGTTTAAAGGTTGGGTATTGGGGAACTAAGTCTCAAAGTGGTGAAAGCACTCGGCCGTGAATGGAGGGATGGACCCGGGCGCGGACCTTTCTGCGAGCTGGAGGGTCGCACGCAGGTCCTTTGGACCCTCCTGCGCCCGCTGCGGCGTGGCGAAACTCGGTGGCCCACCCTCCGTCATGTCCTCATCGCGGACAACGGCGTCCTCTCTCTGGTGCTTAGAAGGGAATGGGGGAATGGGTTATAGGGACTACTATAAGGGACCTTAAGGGACTATCATAGGCATCCATTCCCACATTCCCTACTAAGCATCAGACAGTCCTTGTTGGGCGTGCCCGGCTTGATCTTCTTGGGCTCAGACCCGCTCTCCTTCAAAGGGTCTAGGGTTGTGGGTTTAGGGCTTAGGGTTTAGGGTATCTTCTTGGGCTCAGACCCGCTCTCCTTCATAGGCCGCTTTCGGGACTCGATCGAGGGTGGAGTGCTCAGCGCATCATCTTTCAAGCCTGAGACCCCAGAGACTTAATTAAGGAATAGACCTTACATGATAATATTAGGGCCCCTATAATTTAAGGTATATTCCTTAATTAAGAGGTATTCGGTTCTCTGGGGACATTGTCTGCACGCTGCGGAAAAAGACACACAGTGCCTGAAACCGTACTGAGTACCTTCCAGACCAAGGCACTCGGAGCGCGGGGGCCGGGTGTTTGAGGCGGGGAGTTTGCCAGTGACGTTGCCAATGCTGCCTGCTCCACTCGCTCTTTTCCGGCTTTCTGAGCTGGCACGAAGAATCGGGCAATCGGCGATTGCGCAGCCATGTTTGGGAAAAACCTAAAAGCTAAGCACAAAAAGTTCGCACATTCGAGCGACACACCCTGGCTGCATGTGCCATTGAGATTGATGACCATAAAGAGCTACAGAAGCACAGTGGTGACAGTCGCCTCCCTATTCCTATCTGAGGTTGCTTCCACCGAAAAACCCTGCTGCACACCTGCAATTCCACGGGGCCTCTAAAGCTTTACAGGCCTGCATGGGAACATGGAGCTAAATGGCAAAGGACAGCTGGCACCGAAATTCGTGGAAGCATGGTCAACTCAGGCTCGCTCTGATCTTCTGGCTTGGCTTCGGCTTGGCCTGAAATATAGTCAGCAACACACGAGACTATCCTCATGACACGCACTTCAGCTATTCCTCCCAATCTCATGCTCCCTCCCTCTCAAACCATGCTTTGATATGCTTTGCTATCGCCATGGCCATTCGGAAAAAACACTTCCAACCCTGAAGCCCGGGCAGGACTTGGCGTCCGTGATACAGGCGCATGGTATGAAAAATAGCTACCCCCCCCCTCAGTTATCCACC